CGCGTGATAGCCATTGAATCTTGAAAGATTTCAAACATATGTCTAGGACTACCAGTAAATGAAGATGGCAAAATAAACCTTTGACCAATTTGATTAGGTTGCAAGTCATCTGGATCAATATCGCTTAAATCTTGGTAAAGTTCAGCCCGAATTTTTTTTTGATTAAGCTTGTAATACGTCAATCGATTTTGCTCAGTTGCAGCCCAAGCATCTACCAAAAACTCTTGGAATAGTTTTCCACCTCTCAAAATTGTTGAATACTCTGTAGGTCGCTCAAACAAACGATAACTATAAAAATCCATTTGAATAAATCGATCAGTTGAAGGCCGATCATGTTTAACGTCCCACAATTTCAACTCAGGTTCCCATCCGAGCTCACCATACGGGAATAATAAAACATAATGCAATGGAAAATACGCTGGGTGACATTCATTAATTTGCATCAGTTCATTATTTCCCTGTAGATGTAAAACAACATCTCTCATTCCAGTAACCTCGGTTCCATCACCTGGTATTACAATTGCAATCTCATCAGCAGTTGGTAGGTTATACCGTCGTCGGTCTGTTGCTGAACTGTAGTGAAGATGAGCAGGTAGATTTTGTCCAGTGAAGGCTAATTGATTCAAAATTGCATGAGCTTGGCGAAATTTGTCTACAAATGCATTGACTTGCAACAAACTATCTTGAATAGTTTTGAGAACATCCCTTTGTAAGTGAGGATTTCTACGATTTCGAACTTCTAAAGCTGAATCAGGATCATAAATGTACAACTGAGTATAAGTCGCATCCTGACCTGGCTGTGGTTGTAGTGATCCTGTTCGATGTCGCAATTCCCCATGGATAATAAATGGTTTAGGGCCGCTTCCCCTTAGTACTCTTGGATCCAATGTAGCACCAAGACTTGTAAAAGCATTGGCTACATTGTATACTCGAGTATAACGTCGAAACGATCTTGCTTGATCATCATCCCCATCATATAATGCTTGAAGCGGTGGAGGGGGTGTCATAAGCAAAGGTAGCCTAGTCTTTTCTTTTGAACAGCAAGTTCCAAATAGGGGACGCTTTCGAGATGATTGTGCTAATTTTTCGTCCATCCAATGTAAGGCTGAACAGTAAGGACATAACACATCCATCTTGCCGAGAGAATGACGACATGAATTCATGTGTGATTGAGTATTAATCGCAGTACTTATAGTCATATCTTCTAATTCATCATCTGTACATAGATCCTCTTGAAGAAATGTGACTGTAGAATTAGGCCTACAAATATTTGTTGTGCATAAATTAAAATTTATACACATGTAAAAGTAAGAGTATTATTTAAAGAATTAAACATGTTTTACCAATTCCGAGCTAAAGATGTACTTTCCATAGAGAACGAACATGTGGATGAATGTGTAACCATTGTTCGTTTTTGTGCCAACGAAGTATCCGCAAGTATCTTGGTACCCTGTTCTAGGCAAGCATGGCTGCGACGACTCGGTGTTAATGAAGGAAAGTCTTTAACATATGCTCCTAATCTCTCTCGTTCTTGTCGCAAGCAGTGTCTCGATTGATATGTAAAACATGCATTTTCATTTCTTTCACGTTCTCGTCGTGCACGTTGAGCTAATACAACTCTTGATATAACATAACCATTGGGTCCCTAAAATATGAATATTAAATCATTGAATGCTTAAAATGCAAATATTATCAAGTAACATTTTTCACTGTCCAAAGAAAATACCAAGAATTTTTCAAAAATGTATTATACTCTTGCCCATGACTACCCATAGTTTTATAATAATAATAATCTATATAATAAATTGTGTGGTTTTGTAACAGTAATGAACAAATGTTCGATCAGTAGATGAGCTTCATAAAGTATCCCCATTTTCTTGTAGGGCCCTGCGCTTACAGGAGGCACTATATGTTCCTTTCTCACTATATATTCCTTCATAAAGTATCCCCTATATATTTCTTTCTTCCTAAGAATATACAGGAGACACCAAAAAATGTGCATAGTTTCAAAAATAAAATACAATTATGGCTAAATAAAATACAATATATGAAGATATAAAAATAAAAACTAAAAAAACTCTACAAAATCATTAACAACCATACCGCTAAACATGCATTTTCCTTTATTTTGCCCTTGCAATCAGTGGCCCTTAATTTAACGGATTGTGTCATTTTAGTCCAATACATAGCGGTTGTTAAGTTTAGTGGACAGAAAGTCAAACTATGTGTCAATTTGGTTCCTGTAGTTTACACAATGTGCTAATTTAGTTCCTATCAAAACCAAGCAAATTAAAATAACAGAGGCTAAATTAACACATTATGTAAACTACAGGGACCAAATTGACATATTGTGTAGACTTTCCGTCCATCAAACTTGACAACCGTTATTTATTGGACTAAAATGACAAAATCTGTTAAATTAAGGGGCAAAATCGAGCAAATTGAAACAAATAAATTGACACATCGTGTAAAGTATAAGGACCATTTGCATAATTTACCCAATAAATTTATTATTGTTATTTTTTAAAAATTTGAATAGCACTTCTCTATATTTATAGATGTAAATAAGTTGTCAAAATGATACCTCTCATAAGGGAAGCACTATAAATGGTGTGTGCCGTATATGCACATTATAACTAAAGAAAAAATAGCATAATTTCATACTTTTTGAGTTATAACTATATATAAAAATCAAAAAAATCAAAATCAAACAACATGCGAGGCATAACTAAAATAAGGTCATTATTAAAGAAGAAAATTGGTCATAACTAAAAAAAAAAAATGACATAACTCAAAATTGTCATTTATAATCTATATAATAAATTGTATGGTTTTGTTATACAAACAAACAAATGTTCGGCCAACTCATGAACTTCATAAAATATCCCCATTCACATAGCTGGAAAAAAAAAAAAAAAAAAAAAACAAAATTTTGGTAGAAAAAATAAAAACAAAAAAAAATGTTCAAGCCCGCCCAAGCCTGAGCCTAAGCCTAGGCCCAGGCCCACCAGCCTGACCCGAGGCCTAACCCACCGACCTACCCAAGGCTCGAATAACCCTTGGGCTTAGGCCTAATTTTCTAGCCCAGACCAAATTTGGCAGGAGCCCTCTAGAGCCGAGCCAAATTTACACCCCTATCCACATATATACAGGAGACACTAAAAAAAGTACATAGCTTTAAAAATAAAATACAATTATGGCTTATTCAAAATATACAAACATACGGAAAAAAAAAATTAAAAAAACACTCTACAAAAACCAGTAGGAACCATACCGTTGAATATATATTTTCCTTTCCCTTGCCCTTGCAAGCATAAGTCATATTTTCTTTTCCCTTCGACATTGCCTTTGCATTTTCCTTTTCCATTGCCTTTAAAAAATAACCAAAGTCTAAGAAATAACCAAAGTATAAGAAATAAAAATAAATAAAAAAATGATAAGAAAGTGATTTTTGGGCTGACATTAGAAATACGAACGACATTGAAATCATGCTCATCACGAATCACTACATCGACATTTCTTTGTTGAAGAAACTAAACCTATACATATAAAAACAAATAAGTAGCTGATATGTACACAAAATGAAATTTTATAAGACGATAAGTAAAGGGAACGAATATTACAGTTCGTTGTAAGTCTCCATCTAGCTGTAAAAAAAGAGGAAATTTTTTTTTTTTATAATCAGAACCTATAATACAAAAGTTTTTTTAAAATCTATGTACCAATTTTTTTAAAAAAGACAACTTACATTATCCATAATGTTAGAGGTCATTCCAGCTTAATATTGCCAAAACCTGTAATACAAAAGTTGACTTCAGTAAATACATATTAATCCAGTAATACATAATACAAAAGTTAACCTGTAAAGGTTTTGGAATACATAACTTATGTAAATACAAAAGTTATTTTAATTCACCAAGTGAAACCAAATGAAGCAATCAATCGATACTTAAATGGAATCAAACCTATCGATGGCTTAAGCTTTGTTGAATTTAATTGAACTAAAAGAGGTTTAAATGGAACTGTAAAATTTATAAAGTTAATTCATATGACAAACTAATAAAAAATCATCAATCATTTTGAAATCCACAGTTAATTCATATGATAAAATATCTCATTCAAGGAATTAATAAAAAATCACACTGGAAAAAAAAATCACACATATGACAAACTAATAACCCAACAATCATTTTCCGCCACCAAAAGGAGTTGTGTTTCCAAGAATGTATTTATTGAAATTAACAAATAACAAAAGATTTGCAATAAATCCACAATTTGAAAATAATAATTTAACTCCAAACATTTTCAGGTATTGGTAACACAATATGAATCCAAACAACATCAAAATTGGGTGAATTCCTATAACAAAGCTAATTAATTTTAGAACTTGAGATCCAACTGATGCTATCTAAGACCTGGAACACATCTTATAGAAAAGGTAAAAACTTGAACACATCTAAGACATGAAACCAATACAGTGTATACAAACCAAACTATTTTCAAAATAAAAAATAAAAATGTAGTGATTAATCCCTAGGTTTATTACCAAATAAGATAGAATATTTTCAAAATCCTTAGAAACACAAACACATATGGAGGCCATTATTGGCCAAAAACAACCCTTTATTGGCCAAAAACAACCCTAAAACTATTTGACACAAAAATTTCGGATTTATTAAAGCTTAAACAGTATATAAAACCACAAATTCAAACCAAAGTATGAATTTAAGAAATCAAACAGTACGATACCACAGTATGAATTTAAAAAATTAACTCATGAATTCTATAAGGGCCTTTTCGTTGAAATAGAAAAATACGAAATGTGGTTTAGATTTCCATACTTACCACATCTGTAAAATTAATTTAACTCCTAATAAAAATAATAAAATTCAATCTAAAATTAATAAAATTCAAACTAATAATAGATTAATTTAAGTCCAAATAGATTAATTTTACAAACTAATAAACTTCAAATGTTATCGAATGTTACAAACTAATAAATTCGAATGTTACAAACAAAATAAAACTCAAACTAAGGCCTTGTTTTATTAACAGGTTAATAAAATAGTACCACTAATACTACCAATCAAACATGCCCTAAGTGTCATTCAAGGAGAAAAGAAAAAAAAAAAAAAAAAAGATTAATTTAACTCCTATCTTAAATTTGAAACATTAGATAAAAAGTCAAAAACTAATACAAAAAATAAACCCATTCAACACAAAAAACATGCCCTAAGAGGCAGAGGAAGGTATGTTTATTTTCTTCTTCCAATTTTTCATTTTGTTTATTAAAAAGAAAAAAGAAGTGCTCTCTGTTTGGTTTCCTAGAAAGCAGAAACCCACTTTAGTTTGTTAATTAATTGGCACAGGTTTTGTTAGACATGGCTTTCTTAGACATTGCTTCTCAATATATATATACATACTGGAATCATACATAAAGAGGGGGTTTGGGGTTTGGAATCATATATACATCCATAATCATATATAAAAATAAAAATAAAAGATTAATTTACCTTGTTTGGATATGAAAGGTCTTAAAGAAGTCCACAATGCTTCAGACTCAATGCTTCAAACCTGTTGTCAAAAGATTATGGATGGTTTGTTGGTTAGCTACTAAAGATAGATAGAAATATAAAAATCAAAGTTCAGATTTCCATTTGGCCAACTGTTAGCTACTAATTAATGCTTGGTTGGTTGTGTATGAATAACATTTAATAAATCGTAGAGGTTATTTGTAAATCAAAATTGAATGTTATCAAAATGCTATACAAACTAATAAACGGGTAGTACCTTTGATTAATAAAATAGTACCACTATTACTACTAATCAAACATGCCCTAAGTGTCAGTCAAGGAGAAAAGAAAAAACAAAAGATTAATTTAACTCATATTTATTTTGGTTAAATTTGTTTGCGAATAGGAAAATTAGCTAAAAAGCCAAAAACTAACACATAAAATCAACTCATTCTCTCTATTTAAAATACAATTATAGACTTGTATCCAGAGATAGAAATATAAATACTAAAGAAAAATCAAAACTCAGTTTTCCATTTTCCCCATTATTTGTAAATCAAATTCAAATGTTATCAAAATGCTATACAAACTAATAAACAGGTAGTACTTTTGATTAATAAAATAGTACCACTATTACTACTAATCAAACATGCCCTAAGTGTCATTCAAGGAGAAAAGAAAAAACAAAAAAAAAAAAAAAAAATTAATTTAACTCCTATCTATATTGGTTAAATTTGAAACATTAGATAAAAAGTCAAAAACTAATACAAAAAATAAACATGCCCTAAGAGGCAGAGGAAGGTATGTTTATTTTCTTCTTCCAATTTTTCATTTTGTTTATTAAAAAAAACAAAAAGCGCCCTCTGTTTGGTTTCCTAGAAAGCAGAAACCCACTTCAGTTTGTTAATTAATTGGCACAGGTTTTGTTAAATTAGTTTAATAAAAATAAAAATAAAATTTAAAAAAGCCATTGCCTATTTTGAAGAGTGATTGTGGTCAGCCACCATGACAAAAATAAGAAGCCACTTATACACAAATGCAAAAAATATATTCTTGAAGCCCCAAACACATTTCTCATGTGTGATGGCATTTTTTGGTGCCCAAAATATTATAGTGATTTCATGTGGACAATGACACTTTTTACCAAGAAAGGTAATATATCTTGTATATAAGAATAGCACTATCACATTCTCTCTTCTTTTTTCATCTTGTCGCACTCAATGCCTCTCCAACTCACAGAAAATAATGCAGTGGAATGCAAATTTTGTTTCATAAAGTCAAAAAGCCAACAAATAATTTCATAAAAATAGTACCACTTTGATTAACAGGTTAATAAAATAGTACCATTAATACTATTAATCAAACATGCCCTAAGTGTCATTGAAGGAGAAAAGGAAAAAAAAATAATAATTTAACTCATAATAAAATTAATAAAATTCAAACTAATAATAAATTAATTTAACTCCTAATAGATTATGCAATTGTTATCAAAATGCTATACAAACTAATAAACAGGTGTTTTATGCAATAAATAAAACTCAAACTAAGGCCTTATTTGATTAACAGGTTAATAAAATAGTACCACTAATACTGCTAATCAAACATGCCCTAAGTGTCATTCAAGGAGAAAAGAAAAAAAAAAAAAAAAACAAAGAATAATTTAACTCCTATCTATATTGGTTAAATTTGAAACATTAGATAAAAAGTAAAAAATTAATACAAAAAATAAACCCATTCAACACAAAAAACATACCCTAAGAGGCAGAGGAAGGTATGTTTATTTTCTTCTTCCAATTTTCCATTTTTTTTTATTAAAAAAAAAAAATGACCCTTTGTTTGGTTGCCTAGAAAGCAGAAACCCACTTCAGTTTGTTAATTAATTGGTACAGGTTTTGTTAGACATGGCTTTCTTAGACATGGTTAAATTTGAAACATTAGCTAAAAAGTCAGAAATTAATACAAAAAACCAACCCATTCTTTTCTCAACCCACAAAAAATAAACCCATCCAACACAAAAAATGTATGTTTCTTTTCTTCTTCCAATTTCCAATTTTTTTTTTTTAAAAAAAACACCCTCTGTTTCGTTATGTAAAATTAGAATTCTCTACTCAGAAAGACCCACTTAAGTCTTCGTTCCAATGATTTTATCAATCAAAAGCTTTTCAAAACCATAGAAAATCAACACCCATTTCCCATTAAAGAATCAAACCCATTGGATGATGTTTCCACAATAGATGTTTATCTGCCACTATAGATGTGGCAGATACATAAATAATTTCTATGTATAAACATAAGATGTAGATGTTTATCCACACCCCTAGGACTATAGATGTTGGAAAAATAATTTTATAAACATTAAAAATAATTTCCCACAATTGGATGTGGCAGATACATAAAACCATGTGAGAAATCAAACATTTCAAATTAATTTTATAAATGCATATCAGATTGGAATAAAAATGCATATAAATAAAGCAGAACTCAATGGATACAAATGAAAGCACAATCAAAGTAAAGCAGAAATCACAGTACACAGCAAAGGTCCAATAATTCAAACCTTGGGGACAAAAGGTCCAACTGGATAATTCATCTCCAGAACACTCATTCCCTAAATGAAAGAATTGGATTAAATTCATATTCAATTCTCTCTCAAACTATCAAATGTATATGGTATTACACATACGTATTAGACACATGACATATTTGTAATCTCTCAAACTATCAAAGGATTCGAAACTATCAAACTAAAGTTCTTCACACTCATGACCTGTAGCAATTGGCATAACATCTGTAACTGTCTTCTTCCCCTAAAAAAAATATCTGCCATCCATCAACAACTAAATGATATTTCGAATCCTTACTCTTCTTTTTTCATCAAATTCAATTGAAATCTTGGTTAAAAACTTAATTTGATAGGAGTACTCCAATCCTTACTATTTTTTTTCAGCAAATATTTTTGAAAAATTCCAAAACCATATTCAATCAGCTTTAACCATTTTTTAAAAAAGAAAACCATATTCAATCCTTACTCTTTTATAAATTAAAACCATCTTAAAACCCATTTCAAAACCATCTTCAAAACCCATTTCAAAACAATCTTGAAAACCATCTTCAAAACCCATTTTAGATCAAGTAACCATAATCGTATCTATATATAAAAGAGTTGATTCAATATTTGGGATATCTGTATTCTCAATATTTGCATTGTCCCTAATCATATATAACCAAATGTCATGTGGATTTGCAGTTCAATTTTCAAGTTTTGGCCCAAAAACATAAAACTGATACACTAATATGGAACCAATTAAGGCCATAAAAGTTGCCCACAACAGAAGTTATTAAATGGGAAGACTTGCAACTTATTATGATTATACCACATGTAAACAAATACATATAATTGTTTTACATATTTGATAATACATTCCGATATGTATTAAAACTTCATAAAATAGATGCTTAAATCTATTCATTAACACGCTCAGATTTAGTGCACATTCATACACATTTATCAAAAGAAACACCACAAAAAAAATGTCAATTATGTTTATTTCTCAAATAACCTATACCCCATAATAAAAAAAAAAAATACATATTAGAACGTGGCAAAGCAGCTTTAAAGATTCAAATGACATGAAAATTGCATGTTAGAGCAACTCTAATGGTATGCTTCCCTTCATGCGAAAGCCAAAATTTGGCAACAACACTTCCAATTCATGTGCTATTTTTTGGTGCCAAATTATAACAATGCCAAAATTTCGCAAGAGCTCATCTCTCTATTCTCTAATGATAGAACCCTATTTGTCAACAATTGTGACCATCTTAATTGTACTAAACAATTTTATTATTTTTTTTAATATACAAATTTAAAAGGACAAATGAAAGAAACACTGTAGTTGAATTTTTTAAACAACAGAGTCCAGCAAGGAAAGACCTAGTTGAATCAAAGAAAAAGAAAACAATAATTAAACAACATATATAATTGTCCCAATAACACTAACAATTTGTGAAAATTCCAAGTCGACTCTTTGAGAAAAAAAAAGATTTCTAGATATTAGAGCCTGTGTGTTAAAAAACAGAGCCATATCAAATAGATATATAACCATATCAAACATTTCAAATCCATTACATACATCTATATATATATACACATATGCATATATATACATCCAAAATGCATATATATAATACACACAAATACATACATGTTCAACATAAAAGAATTCAACATTAAATTTTTACTGTGATATTAAATTTTTTGATAGTTAATTATAATATTACTGTGATATTAAAAAAAATTTTTAGTTACAACATTAAAAGAATTCAATTATGACATTTATAATCATTAATTTTATAAATATCATAATTTACATATAGTACATATATTTAAAAAATGGGGGAATTACTTAACAGTGAAGTCAAAAAAAAAAAAACAGACATATGAGATATAAGTGATTCTGTTATGAGGTGTAAGTAAAAAATTATAGGGATGCAAGTCTCATTTGTAACCCTTTATATTTGTGTATTTTTTTTTCCCTATTACACTATTAAAAAATTAAAAAATAAATAAATAAACACTTCAACACATCTTTTCAAAAAAGTAAAACAAAACAAAATAAATAAAACGCTCAATCAGTGAGCCAAACAGTGTCTCATTACTACCCTAAAAGTAGATTATATATTTTGATGGCCTTGTTTGGTTTAATCAAAACCATGTTCAACATCAAACATTTCAAATTAACCATATCAGATTAACCATATCAAACATTTCAAACCCATTACATACATCTATATATATATACACATATACATCTATATACATCCAAAATCAAAACTATGATATACATCCAAAATAATAATATACATCCAAAATGCAAATTATATATATAATACACACAAATACATACATGTTCAACATAAATCATCAAACCCATTTCAAACCCATTTCATAAATCAAACCCATTAAATAATCAAACCCATTTCATAAATCAAAACTATGTTCAACATCAAACATTTCAAATTAACCATATCAAACATTTCAAACCCATTACATACATATATATA